CATGAAAATCACAGCCGGTGTGTTTATCTATCAGGTATTGCCAGAACAGGGTGCTGGCAAAAGGAAAATTCTGCCGGTGAGCGGTATTTGCGCGCCAGGCGCACTTTAACATGGCGTATACGCTTTCAGTGCAGGAGTACGACAAGAGCTTACACGCAGTGACATCAAACTGGGACCGTAGAGCCCAAACCTTCAATGCTTCCTGGTTGGCTGCATAGGGTTTGAAGAGGAACAAGATCACCAACATCAACATTGTGTGAGGAAGCTGAAAAGGACCGTGGTATAAGCAGGAGATTTTCCTCCGCTTTGATGAGATTATGAGAAGATATACAGTGACTTAATTGGTGGTGTTTAATATGGACGAATCTGGTCTTTTCTGAAAAAGTTACCTTCCAAGACTTGTTGTCCAGTCTGCCAGCAAGGTATGGGTCGGAAGTTGCAGAAGGAACGATCACCGGCCCTGTTTACTACCGCCTCCGCAGTCGTGTAAACCAAAGTTATCGGTGATTCACACAGTTCAAAGCCGCAAGACGTATTTACAAAGAATATGGACACAATTGCTTAATGTCCACTGGCTAACCGCACGGCGCGTGATGTCCTCTGTCCCTCTTCTGGTTTGACAACCGTTTTGTTCCTGACGCAGAAATTTTCGGCGAGCAAACAGAATGTTCCATCTAATATTTGTTGCTCCTGGACAACGCACTCTGACGACTCGCCTTACTTATGGATCGTCAGCCACCCCAACGCAAAAGTGGTCTTCCTTCCTCCCAACATCACGCCATTAATCCCAGCCCATGGACCAGAGCGATCTTGCAATTTTAAAGGCGTACTCTGCAAAGAAGTTCAAGCTCCTTAGGAACGACTCTACCAACACCAAGGATGAGTTATGAAGCTGGGTGACACCAACAGCGGAGCAAAAAGCGGCTAAGGAACAAGAGGCGTGACCAAGAACTTTCGTCAAACAATTTTGGAAGAAGTTTAACGCTAAACAGCTGTAGACTTCTTGTGAGGCATGGGATCTGCTGACTATTGCTACGACTTTTGTCACGATGGAGACATGTGCTGCATGGCATACCAGGTGAGAGGAGGAGGAACCTGTGACTGGTCAGTTCCAGACTGTTGCAGTAGCAGTGGACCTTGCCAGAGAAGCTGGCGCCAATATTACAGCTGAAGGCTTCTCCGAGACCACCAACGAAGATGATCCTGGAGGTGATCAAAGATCCTGAAGTGACTGCCACGAGATGCTGGAAGAAGAACACGCCCAGTGAAGAGGAGGAAGAAGGTGCGCCATTCTCCCAAGAACCTAGTTTAAGTCATAGTGATATTATGTGTCATAGAGTTTACAGGAAAAATTAAGTCCGTCTCTTTCATGACAATGACGATGAACGCTTATGAAGCTCTTACACCCGACTGGTAGGCTAGGAGACGTATATCAAGGTGTATCACGACAACATCACCACTCAGCCGGCCAGCAAAGCATAACTCGAGTTCTTCGCCTCAAGAACTCCACCAACAGCCAGCCCAAGCCAGTGATAGTGAAAGTGAAGCTGATCTTTGAGGGATTTGTCAGGAAGCCCTGACAACTGTAAGTGACAGTGATGTTGATTCACCTAGTAATGGTGATTCACCCGGAGGGCCAGTAGTCTGCCTCTGCCTCGAACCAGCCTCCATCCCTCAGATGTCGACTCCATCTCTTCTACTACCGTAAGTGTTCCACAAAATGTTTCGTTTTTTAACCTATTCTTTATTTTTCCTATGTTAACCTTTTTATCTTTCCAACTTAACCTCTTCTATATTACTTGTTTTTTCATACCATCATAAGTTAAGATAGAATTTTACTACAACAATATAGTTATGTGTCAGTCAAAAGTGGAGTTTGGGGTCGGGGTTCTATTGGAATTAATCCCATATGTTTGTTGTTCACTTAACGCGACCTCTGGGTTCAATTGACCGCTAAGTGGGGTACAACTGTATATATATATATATATATATATATATACATATACATATATATACACACAGTAATCCCTCGGTTAACGAAATTTCGGTTAACGAATTACCTTCCATAAGAACCTTCAATTTGGTTAACGAACAAAAATTTGGTTAAAGAAATTTTTACAAAATCATGTCAACATGTTTTAGCTTACTCACCAGCTGGAATATTAGTCCGCCAATACAGTAATCGGTTCTAGGGCTTAAATTCGTTCCCATTTCAGTACAGGTAAATATCAAGAAGGTTGTACTATTCAATAATTTTCCAAGTTTTATATTAAATTTTTTAGTCATTTTAACACTTATTTAACATAATTGCAGTACAGGAAACTAGTTTTTGGTGCGCCAATCAGCCACTTGACTCACCCAGCAAGGCGTCAGTTTTTATCTCTGGTCAATGGAGGTAACATCTTGCTTGTGGCTCTCTTGAACATAAACTATTTTTACGTTTTTACACAACAATTATTGATCATTCGGAAATTTATTTTACATATTGAAAACATATAGTGCAGTGTTGATTTAAAGAAAATAATCTTGAATTACACCTAGTGAACTTAAAATTTTATGGGTGAAATGACGGAATGAAGCATGGGGTGATTTCTCTTCCACCCCCACTTCCTTCTCTTCTCCCTTCTGCTCCACCCCCACTTCTAATTCCCATCATCACCATCATCATCAACCAGGAGCCTTCTACATACACACCTCAAATTAAGTGTACTTTACTGCATTTATTTTTACTTTGTATGTAATTTTCGGTGAGCTGGAACCAATTACCCAAAATCCTATTGAAAATGGTTTCGGTTAACAAAATCTACGGTTAACGAACGACCTTCTGGAACGAATTGTGTTCGTTAACCGAGGGACTACTGTATATATATATATATATGCAAGTAAATCACTGTAGGTGCGCGTGATCCAGGTATATGCTGATAACCACAAGGAAAGAAGAAAACACGAAGTTCCCAAGTGCTTTCGTGTAATTCACATCTTCAGGGGTGAGTACAGACTAGAGAGAGAAATACAAATCAAGGTGTATATATACAGAGGAGGGTGAGACCAGGTCCACAATGGTCAGGTATTAGGTAATGACCCTACTAATCTTTAAATAGCACACAACAGTTGGTGGTCAGGTCAGATGGTCAGGTGACCCGGCCTTCTCACCTGGTCACAAATCTTCTTAATTACAAAATTGTCCAGCTTGTACATGACGTTACTCAAATTCATGTTGAATGCTTCGGTATGTTTAATAAGACTAAATTCTATGATGTTCTTACTATCAATTGAATTACATGGTAATATTGAGGAGACATTATCCGAGTCAATGCAATGCTTGTTATCCCTCAAATGAACAAACAGAGCATTGGATTCCTGGCCTGTCCTAACACTGTATTTGTGTTGTTTAATTCTAGTTGCAAGATCTTTACCTGTCTGGCCTAAGTAAAACATATTACATTCCTTGCAAGGAACTTTATAAATGCAACCAATTGTGTTGTTGGGGGAGTTCTTGATTAATATTTGTTTAACAGTGCATGAGTTTTTAAATGCCACATTGACATTCCAGGTTTTTAGTTGTGAAGGAATGTGTGAGAAATTTTTGTGAAATGGTAATATAAAGATATTCTTATGGTCATGGGTGGGCTTGGGATCAGTTCTATAAAAAGTTTTCTTAGTAATGTTTAGGCATTTGTCTATGAAAGATCTAGGGTATTTAAGGTTTGAGCCAATATTATATATATATTTGTATTCCTCATCGATGAATTCCGGACTGCAAATTCTCAGGGCACGTAAAAACATTGTTGAAAATACTGACTGTTTGACTTTATTATGGTGGGCAGAATAATAATGAATGTATGAACACACATTAGTTGGTTTTCTATAAATACTGAACTTAAAAGTGTTACCTATTCTGTGTATCAGACAGTCTAGGAATGGCAATTTACAGTCTTGCTCTAATTCCACAGTGAATTTGATCGAGGGGGCTAAGTTGTTAAGTTGTGGCAGGAAAGCTTTTAGGTCCTCATTACATGGCCAGAGACATAATACATCATCAACATATCTAAACCAGACTGCTGAGGGTGGTAAAATATTACTTAACTTCGTTTTTTTCTTTCCTTGTGGTTATACAGGAATTATATATAATATATATATATATATATATATATATATATATATATATATATATATATATATATATATATATATATATATATATATATATATATATATATATATATATGGGTACGAACTATCTCGTAATTGGGTACGAGTTGACATGTTCTGATTGGTACGATTTGCTTGGGTATGAGTTGTCCAGCACCCATGTTAGTATGGTAATAGGAAGCCCATTTATACCATCATATAATTGGACTCCCTCCAAATAATAAGCTTGGTACTGGGAAAATGTGAGGCTCATTAATTTGGAACTACAGTACAATACAGTACAGTACAATATAGTACTGTACAATACAATACAGTACAGTACAACACAGTACAGTACAGTACAGTGGTCAAATGGAATTAAATTGAAAATTAATGATTTATACATATTTATCAAGTCATATAGTTTGGATATACAGTACTATACACCTTAAATACCGGGATAACCGAAAATAAAATGTTACCATTTATGTACAGTAGTGGATATTTTGCCGTGACTGGCAGTTCCTAGTAATGCTATTTTACCGTGAGTGTGCTCTGATTGTCTAAGTACTTTCTGTTTAATATGACGGGGGGTCAGCCCCCGGCTAGGACGATAGGTAGGTTGGATTAGGTTCTAGTAACTGTCACCTCTTTTATAATAATTAGTTTCCATGTACAACAGAAATATGGTTAGGTATGTTTACATCGACTGCCTCACGGCTAAATAAATGCCAAGTGCCCCCAGTCACGGTCAAATATAGTTCTCTTGGACGATTAGCCCATCAGTGTGCACCCGTGGTAAAACAGCGAGAGTAGGGACTTAGCTGGTCACGGCAAAATATCCACTGCTTTCCATTTAACCTACTTACCTCAGGTCATTCCAAGGAACATTTTGTTTGGGTGTAGTAGTTGCAGTGCCATTGAGCACCAGTCGTTGTGGGGGGTGGGTGGAGCCAGCAGCCCTGGGTGTTAGGGTGTGACCCCAGGGAGAGCCAACTGTGGGAGAACCTTTACTGGGGCTGGATGAAGGAAATTGATTTTGTCCGTTTATTAATGAATTCTCCTTAGAGGAGTCTTCTTCACTGGGAGGACTGTCCGCCTCAGCGTCCAGACCCGCCTTACTGGCCAGGTAATCACACGCTGTACGGAACATGGTGCCCCTACTGTTGGTGGTAGTTCACTCGGGTCAGGTCATGACCACACCTCTTATTTCTTCATATAATACGTTACATTAACACATTTCTTTACTATATTTGTATTACTGAATCTCACAAGGCTCGTACAAACACACACCACTAGACTGATGACCACAAGTCACCTCACCAGGCCGCACACAACGCAAATACCGACGACATGTTCAAAATTGTTTACCTCACCGCAGAGCTTGTGAGGCCAGCCACCAGATGGCGGCCACGACACCTGAACAACACCTAGCGCAATGTACTCTACCCTCTATATCTACTATTTCTGTCTATATCTATGTCTCTATATCTATCTATTCATATCTTGGCTAGGTTGGATTTCCTTATTAGCAAACACACGTTTTGGAAAAACATTTTCCATCATCACAGCCGAGAGAACGGATAAAAAGTTTTAAACTTATCGTAATATACAGTACACTGTATAGTACAGTATATAGTATAGTATATGAAAAATGAAATATCAATTTAAATCTACCGTCCGCAAAATTTGTCAAAGTAACATTGCATTGCACAATATACTATACAGGGTGTCTCATAAGTAGCACACCATACTATACAGGGTGTCTCATAAGTAGCACACCATACTATACAGGGTGTCTCATAAGTAGCACACCATACTATACAGGGTGTCTCATAAGTAGCACACCATACTATACAGGGTGTCTCATAAGTAGCACACCATACTATACAGGGTGTCTCATAAGTAGCACATCATATACCATACAGGGTGTCTCATAGCACACATACTATGCACTCATAAGTAGCACACCATACTATACAGGGTGTCTCATAAGTAGCACACCATACTATACAGGGTGTCTCATAAGTAGCACACCATACTATACAGGGTGTCTCATAAGTAGCACACCATACTATACAGGGTGTCTCATAAGTAGCACACCATACTATACAGGGTGTCTCATAAGTAGCACATCATACTATACAGGGTGTCTCATAAGTAGCACACATACTATACAGGGTGTCTCATAAGTAGCACACCATACTATACAGGGTGTCTCATAAGTAGCACATCATACTATACAGGGTGTCTCATAAGTAGCACACCATACTATACAGGGTGTCTCATAAGTAGGGTGTCACACCATACTATACAGGGTGTCTCATAAGTAGCACACCATACTATACAGGGTGTCTCATAAGGGTGTCTCATAAGAAGCACACCATACCATACAGCCCATAAGTAGCACACCATACTATACAAGGTGTCTCATACAGCAGGGTGTCTCACACCATACCATACAGGGTGTCTCATAAGTAGCACACCATACTATACAGGGTGTCTCATAAGTAGCACACCATACTATACAGGGTGTCTCATAAGTAGCACACCATACTATACAGGGTGTCTCATAAGTAGCACATCATACTATACAGGGTGTCTCATAAGTAGCACATCATACTATACAGGGTGTCTCATAAGTAGCACACCATACTATACAGGGTGTCTCATAAGTAGCACATCATACTATACAGGGTGTCTCATAAGTAGCACACCATACTATACAGGGTGTCTCATAAGTAGCACACCATACTATACAGGGTGTCTCATAAGTAGCACACCATACTATACAGGGTGTCTCATAAGTAGCACATCATACTATACAGGGCGTCTCATAAGAGTCCCGGACCTGATATGGTGCATCCTAGAGTGCTAAGAGAGTTGTGCAACGAGCTTGCAGAGCCCCTGAAGATCCTGTTCTGTAAATGCCTGGATGAACAAATGGTTCCCAGTGAATGGAAAGTGGCTTATGTGAGTCCTATCTTCAAGAAGGGCGATCGTCACTCCACGAACAACTATATACCGGTGAGCCTGACCAGCATATTATGCAAAGTACTTGAGAGTATTATCAGAGATGCCGCAATGGAACATCTACTACGAAACAACCTTGTAAAGGATTGCCAACACAGTTTTATGCCGGGGCGCTCCTGCTTAACACAATTGCTGAAGGTATTGGATATTTGGACCCGTATTCTGGAACGGTGTGGTAATATCGACAATATTTACCTAGATTTTGTCAAGGCTTTCGACAGTGTACCCCATGAAAGGCTGAAAATCACACTGGACGGGTACGGAATTCGGGGAAATGTCCTAGCGTGGATAGAAGACTTTCCACAAGACCACAAGCAGTGTGTGGTGATTAATGGCACGAAATCGTCATCCGTACCTGTCACAAGTGGGGTACCACTGTACTGCGCACATCATTATCATTCCTAATAACCCCTTTAATTCATATTACGCTACATAACATACAAATCCACCGCGCTTGTAGAATCTCAGAAAACGGGAAACATTGATAAAGGATAACTCACCTACTCAATGTTACTGAATCATGTGTTGTGTTGAACCCAGGTACGGTTATATAATATTAATTGTATGTATTCATAGCATTAAGGAGAACTCAGGGTATCCATAAGATGATTGGGAAAGTCCAGTTGAGCCGGACTAGTGTACTGTAGGACTAAGTGTGGATCATGGTTTGAAGGTCATACTATTTTCGTCTGTGAACCTGGAGCGAACATAACTTCCACAGATATCATATGAAACTGCATGAGAACAATGATCTGGAAAAGGGATAAATGTATTAGAACTATGTGAGGTGTTGGAAGTAACCCAGAAACTATACTTGAAAGGAAATATCTTGTATGCATCGGTGTGAACTTAATACACCTCGTATCCTCGCGTGACGTATACCCACGACAGGTACAGTGATCAGAGAATCTTATGTCGGTGTTCAAATAGTGCAAGGTGTGAGAGGAGGATCCCTCATTACAGTTTTAAGTGAAGTGGATATACCCACGCCATGAACATTCGGCTTTTGTTTTAAGGGAGCGTCCTTTGTACCCGCCTCGAGTGTGCCGCGTTGATATTATATAACCCAATGAATTTACCCACGAACTAGCAAACCAGAACCTTACCTTAGTGTGTAATTCAGGATTAAAATATGTGTTTATAAGGCATGAGGTTACAATATACTGGAAAGTGTTCATGTAAGAACCGTAAGAAATAAAAGTAAAAGTTAAAGATTGGAAACTGTAGGCCTACGCGGTGATGAGCGACGGGGCACTGCCCTCAGTGTCCGTTCTACCGTCACCTCAGGTCAGTGTCCTCTATCGGGCTACATCCCGCCCTGTAAAAAAAGGCTAATATAGCAGTTATTACAGTTTAAAGCTTTGCCTGATGTATAAGTGAAATAGTAATGTGTTAGGGTGTGTGATAACCGCCCATCAGGCATTATTTCTCAGTGTCCTCCGGTCTACCCTCACCTCAGGTCCAATGCGGTCGGAGTGCCTTGCTGGGCGGCGGCCATTATCCCTGTGAGGGTCCAACCAGGTGGTGACTACTCCCAGCTATGCCAATCCACTGTGAACCTGTGGATTCCCAGCATACCACCCCAAATGAGTAGGAATAAATAAGGAAACGCTTGAGAAACTCCGCGGTCGTCACTTAGAGCGACCTATAATACCAGGCGTAGAAATAGTACTGGTATGTCTCTTGGTGTAGCCCTCGTCTCTGCCCACCGAGGGCGGTGTGCTAACGAGGTGCCTCATATGTGTACCTAGAAATTACAAGGAGTCCCATACCTGCAGGTGTGGAGTGTAACAGGTGTGGTGAGCTGGTGCTACAGGGAGGCGAGATGGTGTTACTATGTATGATGACCTAAGGTGCTATATTCCATACAGGTGGAGCAGTCCGAAGTGTTGAGTGATATTGTAACCAAAATCATCGTTGTTCTTTAGAGGAAGGCCAGCTCAATTTTTTTTTTGTTACAGTATATTTTATAAGGAATAAATTAGTTAAGACATGTTTTGGTTTCACCCTTCTTTCCCCTTATCGATCTGGTCAATGAAAAACCCAACCCAATGCCTAGTTCACTCTGCACGCTACCTAACAAGCTACATACTGCCCAGAGGGGGGTCTGGTGGCAGCAACCCTGAAAATTAAGACTATAGTTAAGTTTTCCTCTTAGAATTAGTGACCCCAGTCTGGCAGTATACCACAGGGCAGTGTATTGGGCCCGCTGTTGTTTGTTTGTTTCATAAATGACATCCCTGATGTTGTACACTCATCCATACAAATGTTTGCCGATGACGCCAAGTTATTTCGGGAAATTAAGAACCAAGCGGACTGTGAAGAGCTGCAGAAGGACCTCTGTGGGCTCCAGGAATGGTCGAAGAAATGGCTGCTGAAATTCAATGTCACGAAGTGTGAGAGGATGCACCTGGGGCGTACCAACGTTAAGGAGGCGTACCATATGTCCCAACGGGATGAAGAAACTGCACTAGTTGAGATTGAATGTGAGAAGGACCTAGGTGTGTATGTTGATAATGAGCTGAATTTCTTGGGCCATTGCAAGAAGAAGGTAAACCAGGCAAATAAATTATTGGGTCTTAAAAGAAGGTCGTTCAGTGAAGTGCTTCCCCATCTGGAGTACTGTCACTCCGTCTGGTCCCCGAGATATGCTAGGGACTGTCAGTTGGTTGAAAATGTTCAAAGGAGGGCCACCAGACTGGTGCCTGCACTTCGGCACTTCAGCTACCCTGAGAGATTGGAGCGCCTGAACTTGCCTAGCTTATACTGCAGACGGGCAAGGGGTGACCTAGTTGAGGTGTATAAGCATCTCAGGGGCACTACTTAGTCGAGTATCCTTACTTGGAGCTGGCGGACGCTCGCCCCACAAGGGGTCACAGCTCAAGATTGAAGAAGCAGCAAGTCCAGAAAACTATGAGGGCAAACTTTTGGAACAATCTACCAGAGAGTGTTGTGACGGCACCGAGTGTAAGCTCTTTCAAGAGAAGACTTGACCAACACTGGAGCTGGTTCAGGTACATTCAGGAGCCGGTGCATGCCCAGTACTTGCCAACAGTGCGTGACAGAGTGTACTGTAGTGGATCCTATCCCCTACAACTGACGACTGAGCTGCCGCGCGCCTACCAGCCATTCAGCGTACAGCCAGCGACGCTGGTAGACCTACTCCCCAGTGCGAACGCACACGTAGCAACGCCAGGAACGCCAGGATCAGAGTACCGGGTAATTCTGGCATTCTCGTCTGTGATTGGCTCTCGCGCTACGCGCACCTCAAATCCTGATGCTCCAGAATTGTATAAATATGGACGTGGCTGGCCAGGGAGACCCCCCCCCCCAAGCCCTACTGCTGGACCCGGAACT